ACATGCCATATTCACTGCACACTGCACTCCATAATTAAAATCACCATGTCCCCACAGTGTTCTCAAGTGAAAAAAACAAGTGGATATAAAAGGAAAATAAAACAAACAGAAAATCAGAAAATACTCCTTATATTGGCATTACCAGTGAATGGACAACACAACAGAAAAATGAAGTCATATGGCAAGAAAGGCCTTCAGAGGATGTAGTTCATCAAAGAGCAGAACGCTTGCTCATCAGTTCTTTTAAAAGACCGGTGAAAAGACTTGAGACACATGCTTGTTTGTTTTGCAGCAGCAACATGGACGTTAAAGATTTATGGCTTCCAAAATGGATTTCCTCTGTCATGTGTCTTGACATTATCAGGAAGCTGCACAGGATGCTTCTTTTTCCCAGTAGCTCATGCAGGACAAAAATAATAAACAAAAAAAATCAGATTCGCTCTTCTTATCAGATCCTCCAGACCTAACGTGTCAGACTGGCACTTTAACAAGAGCTCTCCGCATGTAAAATGTAGGGTATGAGCAAAGTGATAAAAGTAAAGATTAAATTAAATGCACCGCATTAAAATAGACATAGAATGAACATAAAAAACAGGAATGCCAATTTTGATGTAAAAGAATATGGAAAATAAAACACATTGAATAATTATAGTAATAAAATTTAAAAAACAAAGTTAAAAATAGAATACTTACAATGCATAAAATCAAGTAAAATACAACATTTTCAAAGAAATGCAGCGGTGTGTAAGTGCAGAGCAAAGTGCTAAAAAGAATTTAAGGCCTGTATCAGGAAGTCATAGATAGTTAAAGGCTAAAGTGAAGAGATAAGTTTTTCGCTTTCCTTTAAAAAATATTTAGCAAGCCAACTTCCCTGATATCTATAGGAAGTGTGTTCCATAGCTTTAGTGTGTAATAGACAAAAGCTACATCCCCATTTTCTTACCACTGTTGCTGAGAACCTCCAATAAACCAACAGCAGGTGATCGCAGTGTTCTTGAAGGCAAATAGTTAAAAGGGGGGTAAGCAATGAACTTTGGTCCTAGCCCATTGAGGGCTTTGTATATAAGGAGAAAGAATCTAAAATCTATTCAAAATGTAACAGGAAGTCAGTGCAGAGCAGCTAAAACTGGATTAGTTGTTAATAGCTGAGCTGCAGAGTTTTGAAGGAGTTAAAATCTCTCAGTCGCTCTAAGTTTTTTTTTGGCCAGTAAAAAGTGCATCACGGTAATTGAGTTGACTTGAAATACAGGGATGAATTTCAGTTTTTCAGCATCTTTTTTTATTTGTCTATAAATGGTCATTCTTTGGCTATGTTTCTAAGGTGAAAAAATGATGTTTTCATCACCTAGTTGATGTGGGACTTGAAGCTTAGATCTGAATCTAAGATAACAACAGATCCAGGGAGTAAATTTCTCCAGATTATTAATCAGCATTTCTCTTTTGGTTTGGAGGCTAACTGGTAGGATTTCAGTTTTCTCCCCATTTAACTTATTATATAGAAGTGTTATATAGAAATTATTGCTAGTCCATATATTTATTGCCAAAAGACAGGTAGTAATGGAGGTTATAGCCGCAGCATTATTCAGTTCAGCAGAAATGTAGTTGTGTGTCAACTGCTAACTATGGAAACATGCATTGTGCTCTCTGATGATGTCACAAAGTGTCAGCATACAGTATATTATGAGAATGATACTGGACCAAGGCAGCTCCCTTGTGCAAACCCCAGTGCAGATGTCATGTTTCTCAGAAACATGATTCCCAAGAATGACATAAAACTTTCTCCCTTTGATGTAAAAACCAACTAACTTTTTAAGATGATAGATAAGGATATCATGGTTAATTGTATCAAAAACTGTGCTTAGGTCTAAGAGGACAAGAACTGAGGCCTTATTTTTTCATCAGACGTAGTCTGAGGTCGCTGATTATTTTAGTAAGAAATTCTTCCAGGATATTGTTTTGTTTAAGAAAGGAGTTTATTTGCACTGAAGATGTATCTTTTCAAGTATCTTACTGATGAATGAAAGGTTGCAAATCAGCTGGTCAGTGCATTACCATCAAGGTTGGGTTGAGTTTTATAACAGCTGTTTTGATGTCAGTTTGAAGAATCTTCAGGAGATTACTTGACACACTGCCAAACACCCACTTTAAAAAAGCAGCAGTATTTAAAGCAGATGACAAGGTATTGTTGAAATTGTCAACCATGTCATGAGCAGTCACAACTCTGTGGCTCGATTCATCTCATAATATTAGAGAACTTTGCTTCTGCCTCATCATTTAGGAATCACTTTTGAACGAAAAATTCTTTTACTTTTAGTCTTTGTTAAGGTTATGTTGGAATCAAAAACCACACAGTGATGGTCAGAAACAGGTAATTCAAATACTGAAACATTATCTGTGTTTAACCCTGTAATTATTACTAAGTCTAGAGCCTGACTATGCTGATGCGTGTCTTCATTTACATGTTGGGTGAATTCAAAGCTGTCCAGTGAATTCTCATGCTCCACAGCTTTCTGTTTCTCTGTTCTGTTTATTAATATGAATACTCCATTCAGGATTAATCTATCATATCAGTGAATACCAAGTGAGATCAGCTCTGAGAATTCCTGTAGAAATAGTGATGAATATCATGGTGGCCATATAATGTAATGATAATCACTGATAATGCTGCTTTGAGCTCAAGAGCAAGATATTCAAATGGCATGAATTCACCCAGCTCAATGTCATTACACACAAACTGTGATTAGAAAATGGCTTCAACCCCTCCTCCTTTCTTATTTTGTCTGACTGATAAAAATGATAGTTTTGAGGACAAGACTTTATCTATCATTATGGCTACACTAGTAGTGCTGCTCAGTCAGGTCTCAGCTAAAAACATACAATACAAATTATTTTTATTGTTATCAGATCATTAACCATAAAGGTTTTGTTAGCCGAGGATCTGACATTAAAAAGCTAATTTCAGCTCTCAGAATTCTGTGACAGGAAAGGAGACTGGTTGTGGCTGAACACTCACAGATTTAAGATTACCGAGACGGATAGCAGATGGTCTGTGATTACTACGACGTGTTTGATCATGCCAACGGCTGTTAAATATCACTGCGATGTTTAAGGAAGCAGCATGAGGTCTGTGTCGTCTCTGGTAGACACCTGAGGGACGATGTCTGTGGTTATTGCTGTTTAATAGTTCATCAGTTTGATTGAGCTTCAGTTTGGCAGCTTTAACTAACTCTTTGATTGGTGAGGGTGGTGGAGGCAGGGGAAGGGGGGTCGGTTGGGACAGACACATCCCCAGAATGCCTTTTGGGATGTGGAGCAGAGGTTCAGGTGAAAGGGGAGAGATACTGGCTGTCTGTGCGTGTACGCTGTCCTTCGCGCTTATCCACACAGCAAGGCAACCCAAGAGCGTGACCCAGGTTGGCACCGAGAAGTCTGGATCTAGTGATGTTTGGATGAATCCCATCTGGTTGAAAGTGGTCCTAACAGTTCCAAAAGATACTGAAATTGTCAATAACCTTTATCCCATGGGTGAGGCACGCCAATGTCAGCCATGCATTCACTCTGCCAGGAGTCTGCTAAAAGATTCGATTCCTTTCCTGAAAGTTGGAATGGGGCCTGAGATGAATACATGTTGTGATTCACAGTTTCTCCAGTAGCAGGGGAAAGTCTTTTTTCAGGATCTCAGAGTCAGTTTGTTGCTCTCTTATTTGATTTCTTGCTGGATTTGCCTCTGTTGCAGACCCTGTCAGGCCAAGTCCTGGTTGGAGTTGATGTGCTCGGTCTAGTGCTGGTGCTATGGCAGTAAGAAGCGTCGTTAGGGAAGGGTGATTTGGGAACTTCTGCAGCTAATCCGGTGGTGTTGGGACACATCCAGGGGAGGGTGTCAACCAAGTCCGTGACGGGATGCTCTACATTATATAAAACATGTGTCTGTCCGTTAGCATCTAGTAGCTTGGCACCTTGTGAAGTAGCTGCTACAGAGTCAATGTATTGCCCGCTCTCACGTATTCGATGCGGCCAAGACCAGATACACAGGAAGTAAAAAATGCATTGTTCTTTTTGGACAGTTTGAGTTTTCATTTTCTTAGCTCCTCATTTTCTTTGGGAAAATAAAATTCCACACGGCCATAAGAATTTGGCTCAACTAACAAGCTAGCTGTCAATAAGCCCTCTGACCCAGCTTGGTAGGTCAACTTGCTAACTGCATGTCACTGTAGCTTGGTAATTTCAAGTAAATAAGTTCACACAATTTACTTAGTTTCTTTGCTGGAGAACTTGTGGCTTCGTCCATTTTGGACTCACCAGCTTCCTTCTGAGGTCAACACTGTTTAAATCACCTGCTAGCAATTGTGCAAATTTGCCTGCAAGTTCAAAAAAGTTGATTTCTTTAAAAATGAGTTGATCTCACAGTTTGTAATGCTGGTGTTCCTGGGAATTTAGACTTCAATTACATCAAGTATCATTTTATGAGTTAGCCCTGACTGGTCACATCAGGCTGAAATATATATCGTTTCTTACAATGAACATTTTGACCGGTCAAACACAGGTGTAGCTAATAACAGTAATAATGGCTGCATTCCCCCCAAGTGTGCCAGCTCTCGGTTCTTCTATTGTGAACTCACTGACATTGCTAATTAACACTTCATCGTTAATTACAGTAGTAACACCTGTGCTTTTTCTGCTATGACATGTCAAGTATTGCTGGGAGAAAATGGGAGTTTATGTGATCTTAAAGAAGATGGTATCAGTGAGATGTCTGAAGAATACTAAGGGAATTATTCATTCATCTCCTGGTAATGGTTGGCTGCATTTACTGTCAAGAAATGTGGGGGAAAAAATATTGTGCAGCCATGCTTACAAGCTATAATGTAATGTGTTGCTGTGGTCTTTATGTATTGCTGTGGTCATGGATGCCCATACAGAGAAATGTACTATTTGCACAGTATGTCATTACAAAGATATGCAAAGCTACAAAATCACGGGTGTCATTTCTCTCTCAACAGTCCAAAAGCTACATGTGCAGCAGCCAGGGGAATGTACTGTGCTTCACCATAGATTTTGGATTGGGCTTCACCTGCTCAGAAGGCACTTCAAAGGTAAAGTATTACCGAGTTCACAATCGTCATTGACATCCTGACTCCTGTGCTGCTCTCGCCTTGCTCTCGAGACCAAAGTTTGCCATCTTTATTTCCTGTGTTTATACACCATGTACTTATTCTCATTTACCTAGGCTTCCATTGTATTTGGAAATATATTTCAAATAACTCATAAATGTCTTTTTTCCCAACAAAATATAAAGATAGCCTTTCAAATGTCATTAGTTTTGCACAATGGACTCTCCAGATGGTTTGCTATTGTTACAAAAGGTACATTGTGAGATTATTTTGGCAGCATTGCTAAGTGTTGAGTCAGCCCTGCAGTGGGTAAATTTATGTTCATAGAATGGTACAGCGCTCAGTTCCAAAGTATTAATGTTCTTTTGTTAAGAATTATACGTTTCCTCAAAGCACTGTTGCACATTAAAATGTCAGTTCTTGATCGTGCAGGTCTCTCTGTAGGAAGACATGGTATTTAAATGTGCTCATTACTGAAATCCCCATGCTGCTGTGCTTTATAATCCCTTCCCCTGTAGACCATACTGTGGCGATATAAATTCTCTCAACTTAAAGGCTCCTCTGATGATGGGAAAACCAGGGTAAAACTCCTTTTCAAGAACGCTGAAAGCAAGCAAATAGAAATGAAGGTAATACAATTATTTTAGTTTCCAAAATTAAAGTTATTCATTTTTAATTTTAGTTGGGTTATTTTGCATTTCATTATTACTCATTATTTTATTGATTTATTTTATTTTATTTATTACTCACATCGATTGAAGAGCTAGTGGGGAAACTTTCCTAACAAGCACCTTGTCACCAAGACCAAAATAATTTTTTCAAAAAGATCATACGTTTAAAAATGTTGTATATTTAATATGAACATCTTACGACTGACTTGTCTCTCTCTCTTTGACTTCCCCCACCACAGGAACTAGAGTTTGCTAATCTGACAGCCGTTCTCCACTGCATACATTCTTTTATTGCTGCTAAAGTGGCCTCCATGGACCCTCTCTATATGTGCAGTCAAAGCTTCCCCGGAAATTACATGAACAGTTAAGAAGACACGTCCTCATCGTCATGTGCACCTGAGGCAAATCAGCGGTATTTTATGCACAGAGCCAATTGATATGTATATCTTGTTCTTGCTATTTTTGTATTAACTACTGAAAAAAAAAATATTTGTAAAAGATAGTAGATGTAGATAATGTTGGAAATAATGGTGGGAGGATGATGTTATTTAAATTTTGACAAAGTGGAGAAAAAAAAACAGTCTAAACAGATTCACAGTTCTTCCATTTATTTCGGTTTTTCCTTTCATTACGTTATAAGCATTCATACTGAGAGCAGGTTACTTGTCTAATCCGGCACTTTGAAAGGTAGCACACGTGCAACCATAGGGTGAGTAACTGCCATGAGTTTGACGATATGACACAGATTGCCAAATATAGAAACTGCCACTGTGTTAAGCAGAAAATCGACGAGGGATTTTGAGCTAATGAGGAAGTATTTTAACTGCCTATATGAATCTGATGCTGGTGTACTATCATGGGAAGAATTCACATTTGCCACAGACTCTGTTTCATTTAAGTTCACAGTTGAGCACTGCAGTAATTAAAAGGTAACCTTTCCCTGTTCCCAGCTTCTCTGGTTTACTTAGTTTTCTTTTGTCATGTCTATGAGGAGGGAGAGAGAAATAACACTAACATCTTACAATATGATACAGTCCAGTAAGTCTCCAAATACTGAACTGAATCAACACCCCTCAGATATGCTTCCAACTGAAAATGAAACATAAGAAGCTTCACACAGGCAGGATTTACTGTAGGGATACTTCATTGGCCTGGGTTAAATTGTATAATGTTTCTGCTATTGTGCCCATCTTTTGTATCTAATAAAGCCAAAATGCCTGAGTCTCTCTGGCTAATGGGGATATTTCACTGTAATGTTGCATTTCAGCCTCAACATATTCTTAAAGACCCACTTTTATCAGCTCCCATTCTAAAACAATGAAAAAACTATGTCTTGAGTTTCTTTATGTAATGGTTTCATTGTTAATATTCATATTTGCTGTGTTTTCAATAAACTGCTCATAAAGCACAACTGCCTATTACACGAGGCATGTCACAGCTCCCTGTGGGTTTGTATGTCAACTTTGAAAGTGGAGGGGTGGCAGTGGATATAACTTTAGTATCTGCTAGCGCAGGCACTAAACTGCTTATCTTCTGCTCAGCTTTATCTTAGTAGCCTGTTTGGCTATCCATCCATTTGCTATACTGCTTATCCTCTCTGAGGGTCACAGGGGGGGCTGGGGCCAATCCCAACTGACATTAGGCGAGGGGGGCAAAATATAAGATGACTTTATTTTCTGAAAGGGTTATGTGTGCAAGAGATTGTCCGTCTGATTTTGCTGGATGAGCCTGTCCCAGTCATCATCTGTAATTTGGTATAAATGAGCAAGGCTGCAGCATAGCACTAATTCAGCTAATTGGTTCTGTCATCCACATGATATCATGAGATTTAGCAAATGATATTTAAGTAAATAGAAGTTTATTCTAAGGGAATATTTATGTACACGACTATTTCTTAGATGAGTAAAATAACTTTCTGGAGTCTTGACGTCACCATGAGGTTGCCAGGCAACCAGCAGAAACAATACATAACCCAGAGTAAACCGAAGCCCCAAGGAATGGGCTGGGCGGTGAAAGGATTTCATTATGTTATTCCAATTTATTTGTGTGGGGAGCCAACAGGAAGTCGGCTGGCTCGGCCAGTGGAAGTCTTGGATGCACATGCTCTCAACCGGTTCAACTAGAGAAGGACTCTACTCCACACAAGCAGGCTAATACAACATATGTGTTGCTAGTGCACCATGAAGGGCATGATCCCTCACTGGCTTCCCACTGGTGAGTGATGACAGGTTGTGTCTGATTGGCGGCCGGCCAAGCCAGAGGCATTGCTGCAGGAGGTTGAGCTCTGATTTTCTGGTGGTGATTTTTACCCTGCATGCATAAATGTTCCTGTATATTTGCATATTGGGCAGAAATGGCCACCAGCAATAAACACTGGAAAAAAACACTGGCTCAAATGACAACAAGAGACCGAATCAAATACTCATTTAAAATCCAGTGCCTTGTAACACATTGTTATATTAGTAATACTTCAGAGAGAGATGAGTTACATTCAACATTGTCAGCGCTGTTTCTTTGTCTGTGGCACACATAAAGGGTAGAGACAAGATCAAGGATGTTTTATTGTCATTCAGAATATGTTCTACATGGTTCAGGTAAAATTAAGAAGAAAGCACACAATAAGACACCATGAAAAATAGTAAATAAATATATGAATAAAGACAAACTATAAAGTGAGCAGAGTGTGAGGATGGGAATAAGACTAAAAATGTTCAGTGAGCGTTCAGTGAGAAGCAGTTCAGAGATTGCAGAATTATCACTCTCAAATTGCAGCAATGCCCAGATATGGAGTAATAGTAATAATAATAGCAGCAATAAAAACTTGAGCCTGGAGGTCATACATTATTATGAAGGATCAAAGGATTGATTGTACTAGTGGATCACTTTTGGCCAAACCTCTTACATTACTCACCTCAGATTTTTCTATCAACACAACTGGTTCTACATTGTTTTGTTGGTGTTGATAGCAGTTGGCGTGGCAACCACATTGTAATAAGAATCTACACTACACCTGGACCTGGTATGTTGTTTAATTAAATAACAAGAGGACAATAGTATTCCGTTTTCATTAAGGTACCTGCCCTTTCCATTACACTGGGCTTGGCCGGCCTTGGGTACTCTCAGTCTCCTCAGCTGTTAGTGGCCAAAGTAATCACTGTACCTCCACCAAAGAGGTTATGTTTCCAGAAACGATTTGCACCAAGCTTGGTGTTGGGGTGAGGCATGAGCCAGGAACCCATTACATTTTGGTGCCTATCTGGTTGAAGGGGTGGATCTAGGAATTTTTAAAATCACTTTCCTATACATTGCGAGATGTACTGAAAGGGCATTTTTCAACATTTTCATCAATTTCTCAGGAAATAATGTATGGCTCTCTGACTTTGCACAATTTGGTGCAGATCCAGATAATATTCTGGGTCTCACAGACTTGTGTGGGATTGTTTGGCCTTGGTAGAGGTATGTACTCTGAGTGCCACTCTAGTTTTCTCTTGGACTTTTACACCTATGAGTCACAGAGGATACGGGGTTATTTAAAGCTCTGAATCTGTGATCACTGTGTATCACTGAGCTGAAGTTGACATGATACTACCTTTGACTTGACTTCATTGTTTTCTAATTTTAAGATGGAGTGTTTGGATGCCTCATGTTCCACGAAGCAGGAGAAAAATTGAACCAGATATACCTGCAGAGTTAACAACGTCACACATGGTTTTGTGGCATCAAAGTTTGTCAGGTGCTCTAAACCAATGAAGTCTGAAGTCTGTAATATTTTTTTCCGTATTTTATATTTTCATTTAATTGTTAAAACCTATTTCCTGTGACTTTTTCCTTGTGATTGTCTATGCTTTTTCAAAGCCATCTTCACAGTGTAAATCTTTGTATTGTAACTAAAATTTTCTGCCTAAAAAAAGTCAAATCTAAAAATAGAAATGAACCCAATATATGAAATTACTTTAAAGTGTAGAATGTAAACTCTCCTTCAAACTGTTTTAAACCGTTAAATTCCCATAACAATACTGAGTATATGACCTTGGTGTCCTCAGTGATAGCTATGGCTTTGTCTGGCAAATGCTACAGCTGTCATACCCTCATGTGTTACATAGTGTGCCTTCATTTTCCTCAAGGGTTGGATTGCCATTCAAAAATACTACCTTTCTGAGGTGTATGTTATTTTAGATTAGTGAAACTTTTCACAGCTGAGCTGGCAGACTATAATATGATATAATCTTACACATAAGGACATTCCAGATATAATTGTAAGTTTTTTTGTATTTAATATGTAAAGTGGGTTATTTAACAAATTACATTTCTTTGTTTACAAGAAATAAACTGACATTTCTTATAGATTAAATGCATTAGTTTTATTCTGTGTTATGATGATGGTTTTCTCTAAACAGACCTGCATGAAAAACATAATTACACTAACCATCAGTAACCCTTGGCCTTGTCAGCTGAATACCAATGTTTTAGCCTTGACAGTCACCCTCTATAAGTGATTTTTTCAAAGGCATTATTAGGCAACTTAGAGGTAAAAAAAAAAGAGGGCGGAGACTTGCTGCTTATTGCTGGGCCATTATTTTTAACTGATGCAACTGGGAAATTGGAAAAGTGTTGGCAAAAAGCAGCAGCGGTCAGAAACAACTGTCACCTGAACTGACTAATGTATATTTAATGAGATATTTGAGTAACAACACAACAGCCTGCAGTGGTAGCAATTACCATAGAGTAGCTTCAACACCTCCTGACAGTGAAAAAGTGAGCATTACTAAACTAGAGAAAGGTAGAATTTATTGCACTACCATAGTATTGGATTGCACTGTATTGTACAGCTGTCAGATATTATATCTATTATAACAATAATTCAGCATATTCAAAGTAGCTCATAATGGCTGGCCAGAGTGAGGACAAAAGATTCAGATATATACCACAAGTTTTTCTTTGGATGTCACTCGCTTCATTCTCAAGAAACTCTGGGATTCATTTGTTGAGAGGTTTGGCTTAAACAGTTTTGTGTTGAAGCTAAAGCAGCCACCGTGACAACAAGAGAGCACAGAGAGCCACAACTGAGATGATCTTTAGCCCACTGCTGAGGTTGCTGCCTGCTGCTGCCACACACACGCACACGCACACACACACACACACACGCACACGCACACGCACACGCACACGCACACGCACACGCACACGCACACACACACACACACACACACACAGACACACAGCATCATGAAGTTGCATCAGCACCATGTCAAGCATGAATTTCAAGTACACTGCTCAACTATCAATGGGCCATGACTCTCACAGTTGACTCCACTGGTGGCATTGGACCCTGAACACTAACTGAAGTATTTGTGATGAGGAGAAGTTTCAGGACGGCTGCCGTGGCCTTTCTCACTGTCAGTAATCCCTACACAGTCTGCATTGAAAACTTTGAAAATAGGCTCGGGAGGACGGAGGCACAGTGAAGCAAGCCGGACTATGAACCCATTAAAGACTGCGTTGACTGCCGCTGATACTGTGTCCTTTTATTTCACCAATTATGTCTTTGAAGTAGAGTTTGATAGAAATAAAAAGGCAGCGACAAGTTCTATACAGTAAGTAATTATGCTGTGTTATAAGTGTCAATTTTACAGTAAGGTCTATATAAGACAGTATAAGCAAGGACTACAGTATTCATCAAGGGCTACAATAATTTGACTGCATGTTAGTTTTTTAATGAATTTAATTGATGGTGATTATTAAACGGGTATGGTAGAGGGACTTGATGACAGCAGATGTGACTTCTCATTGAGCCATAGTCTATACTTTACATATACAGAGTTATATATTGACTGTGCTAAATGTGACAGCAAGGGAGGCCAACATATAGCTCAGTTTCGCTGAAACTTAAATCCCTACGTTGCACATATGTGGATGAATTAAACCCGCATGAGCTATCAGTCTATATGCAAGACAAACAATGTACTGCCTCAGTATTATTTCATGTTTTCTCTGCGATTGTTACAGAGATTCAGGACTGACCAAACATCCAAGTGGATGACAATGGGAGCAAAAAAAGTACCCTTTCAAATCAGTCAACCAAGGACAAGAAAAACACTGAATCTCTGAGTTACCCCAGTGAGGGCTGGTTTATTTAACCTTGGTAATGGACTCCCTGCTTTATCTGAATATATAAGGACAGGTTCAACAGGGCACACGGCAGTAGGATAACTCTTCATTGTCATTGTGAAAATCTTTGACTCTTCTACAAACTGCCCACCAAAATGGCTTATTTTCTCAATTTGATTTTCCAGGCAATGTTGGTTTGCATTTTTCTCCAATTTTTTTTAACTGATGAAGTCAAACATTTCAACTGTGAGTATTTTTCTTTTTATTCTTAATTTGTTTTTAAATGCTTCTGCTGAAATCTACTTTCATCTAAATTGTGTAATCTATGATAATAGCTGGAGGATTGGAAAGATTGATTGCAATGCAGTTTACTGTGTGCTGTCACATCATAGAGTGGCAAGACAGAGCATGTAATAGATAACTACTTTTATAGCATAATTAAGTGTTTACACATTCCTGAGGTAAATATGTAGTGGACCTGGAGAAAGGAGATAAACACATGGAAATGTCAGGGTCATCAGCATTTTTGTGTCTCCTTGAACTTTTTTTTTTTCTCTATATATCTTGTGAAAAAAAGAATGTTGTTCCTGGTTTGTATTGAAATGCAAATTTCTGTTTAAAACCAAGTCAGCAGATTTAGTACCAAAGCTGACACACTGACATGAAGGTGAAAATGCTGCATATAAGGCCAGGGTAACCTTGACTCTAGGTTATGTGTATTGATGTAGTGATGCCTCAAATACATCAAAATATGTATAGGACGTAATACATATAAATAAGTGCTTACTGACAGTTAAAATCCTACATGTAGCACTTGTATTCAATATGGTTTGATAGGCAGTCAATGGTTGAAGAGAAACTCAGATCCTATTGAATAAAAGTAAGTAAAAGTACATAAATATAAATGTAAAATGTACCAAAATGTATTTCAAGTATGAAAGTTAAAGTACTCGTTATCCAGAAAAATGTTCCCTGTGTGTGACACATTATATATGATATCATTTTCATTACTAATGCAATAATGCATGAGTAGGATTTTACTGTTGTAGCACGGATGGTGGGATTTTACTTTACTTTATGTACAGCAAAAATCAAAGTAGTTTAATACAGTGGTTCCCAAACTTGGGATCAAGCCCCTCTCCTAAGGGACCCCAGATAGAAATGAGGGGCCATGAGATGATTAATTTGGTGGGAGAAAAAATACACAACCATGATGTTATATGATATGATATGATATGATATTGGATAATTTTACTTCTCCACATCAGCCTTAAACAGTTTTTTAAATGAAACCATCTGAGAGGTTTAAGTAGAAATCAAAACACAAAGTAAGATGTAAGGGTGAAAAAAGGTTGGGAACAACTAGTTTAATGTATTCTGGTTTAATTATTTAATATACAATATTTCTCTCTAAAATGTAGAATAGAAGTAGAAATCAAAATACTAGAAGTACAGGTACTTCAAAATTACTTCAAAAGTACAGTAGTTTAGTAAATACTTAAAACTTAGTTACTTTCTGCCACTTGCAGTATACAGTTTATATTTTGGTACAGACCGAGAGCATGTAATACCATTTTAAGTGATCTTTGTGCTGTTTTGTGATGTACTGTGTATCTTCCAGCCGCCACTGTTAGAGAACTGCTTATCTCGTCATATCAAGAGAGCCTTCAAATTGTAAATGAAGCCTTACTCCACTCTAGACAACGGTAATAAACTATCAAATGAATTAACATTTAACATCTCATCTCTTTTTTAACTAAAACTACCTTCCAAAAAGAAAAAAAGAAAGAAAAAACCTGTCAATTTCTGTGCACAGACGGAGCGCACCATCATCTTCCACGCATATGTTTGCATTCCATCGGCAAACTGAGCCTGAGACCCTGGAGATTGCCCAAGCTGCAGAGGTTTTTCAAACAACTCTGAAAGTCCTAAAGAGCAGAGCAAGACAGAGATACAAAAGGGATGTCACGACTCCAGGTAGAATTGCTTTCATTAAATCCGGAGGATCTCACTGTGCAACAAAGCTTAAGAGACAGTTGGACACCATGGAGTCAGAGCAACTTTAACACAACCAAAATTGGTCCACTGCCAGTGTTTTTCCAATTTTAATAGTCTGCAAAAACACTGGATAATTTAAATGGATATGAGCAATAACTAAAGTCCTCATAAAGGAAATTTAAAAAGACAAAAGAGGCATATTCACAGTTATTGTTTCTCATTTGATAGTGGGTGTACTTTCACATTTTATATGCTTGTAAAGTGCGGAAAAATTGAATTCCATTTAATTTCTCTTGTTTAACTCTCCTATGTCTCTGCGTTAGAGTTGTTGTCATGGGAGGATGTGGAGCTGATCGCAGAGCTGTGTCAGTGTCCTCCTCCAACACATCCAGCCGGCTGCCAACTCAACTCAAAGTACCGCTCCATATCTGGCATCTGCAATAACAGGTAGCCCACTGACTTCAAACCGATTGATATTCAAAGAACCAGAACCATATTGCTTTGCATGAAAAAGTATTATGGTATAAGAACCAATAATGCAGACAGGAACTATGTTGAGTGAATAAATGAACATGATTATGTTCTGATAAGTGAGTTGAGATAAAGCCGCAGCCACCACAGCCCGACGCTGCTCTCAAATTAAAAATGCAAACACCCAGTTTCCCTTTTGAAATTTCAAAACTTAGGTTGCACAATTTCTGCCAATTTGAAAAGCAGAAATCCATTTCACATTCAGTTTCATTTTCATCGTAGCATGGGGGTACTTTGGTGTATACTTAAGAGTTTTCTCTTTAATTCAGTTTGAGCAGCAATGGTGCAGTTTCAAATTTGAAAATGAAAAAATTTTATTGTGCCCTACTTTTATGTGCCCTTTGATTACAAAGATCAAGTAAAATAAACATTCTATTTTAATGAATGATTTCATTTTAAAATTGGCAGTTGAAATTCCATGATTATTTTACTGGTGCCTATGCTACTTTTACCCTGCCCTGTGTCCTAGAGGTTATATTTATATACAACAAATTTACAACAGCAAATGTCTGTGTGTTTTGGTGGAAACATGGAGGCGCCAGAATCTTGTTCTCAACCGACATAATGAGGAAACACTGTTAATCAATGTATCTGACAACCTGGACAATGTGTATGCTGATATTCACTGACAGCATTTGTTTTCCTATAATATCCACTCTTAACAACTACAGGTTAAAGACAGGAAAAGATCATGGTTTTGGTTTAATAGTGAAAAAGTCCACATTGACTTGAAGCACAGGATAAGTCATGTTTGCTTTCCTGAGCTTTAACCCAAATCACAGTCTATTTGTAAATTAACTTTAATTAGTATATTTACAGGTGTTAGGAAGTATTACTGCATAAATGAAAATGCTTGTATGAAGCCTTTTGTGGCTCCAGAAGAAGCTCTGTGATGTCAGCGTCGGTTTGGGCTGAAGACGGCAGTTCTGAAAGAACTGAGCCTACCAGACCTCTGCAGCCCCCTCCTCATCTCTGCTTGAGGTTAGCAGCTCAGGCTTACATTAGCCGCTACTATCATAACACACCCCAAACTCTGACTGAAGTGTTGGCAGTAGATAGCGCATTGTGGGTAATGTACTTACAAGTTTTACAAGGAAAAAGTGTGGAATAAAAAAGACAATATGTTTCTGATCAGTTCCTCCTTTAACTGTCCATTGTCACAGTGTTAAATGGGTGCTAAACATGTTGTGTTCTTCTTTGTTATATTTATTTCAGTCAACCACTCAAATAAGCAAGCAATGGTTTACTGAAAAAACAACATATCAGTCACTATGCAGTATATAGTTTTTCCCAAGGAAGAAAGAAAACCCTCATATGTTCACAACAGCAAAAACACTGACTTCATTTGAATCACTATTGTGTAAGCCAGTGATAGAGAGTATGAAAATATTTAGCAAATCCCTGTCAGCGAGCCTAGCATAAGAAGTTGATATTGATTTGATTTTTATCTCAAACTGTTGCAGTTCATTTGGAGGGAAACAAATGCTGTTGCATTCAGTGATGGCATATACTGTTTTGCATTACAGCATTTTTGGACACGCTTCATGATTCTTTTTTGTCAGGCAAAATCCTCTCTGGGGAGCAGCCAACACTCACTTGGTCAGATGGCTTCCAGCTGAATACGAAGACGGCGAGAGCGAACCCAAGGGTTGGAACCAAGGACGGCTCCATAATGGATTCCAACTTCCCCTGGTAATCTACAAAATGCTGGTCCGACGGACACAAAGGTCTTGGTGGAGAAATTAGAAATGAAGCGAGCTAGCCCTGCAAACCGGAGTTAATGTTGCATTCCATTTATTTTTCTAACCTGTTTTACAGCAGATAAAGTCCACAGCAATTTAGGAAGAGCAGAAGTGTGTGCGAGATGACATAGATTACAGCTGCTGTTTGAATGTTATGGCCTGTGCTTTAAAAAGACACTATTCCAGTAGCAAGCGGTAGAAAGAAGTTGGTTTCCAGTCATGTGGATAAACATTATTTCTCTCAAACAGCAAATGAAACTGTTACACTGATATTTGCATTGAATTTCAGTTTTAATTTATGCACTCATTACACAGTGAGAGTGAGGTCTTTTAGTGGAAGAACTCATAAAATATGCATCAGTTGTATCCAGCCTGCAGTTTACCTCCACATATAAGAGCTGTGATTTACTAGTCTTTTAGATATTTAATAATCTTTGATCTTAACTTTTCCGTTTCTTATAAAAAGAGTTCAAGTAAATCATATCTTGGATGCTTAATATATTGAATTACTCATTTTATAATCAGTTGCCAAAGTCCTTTTTGTTGGATAAATTAGGATATGAAAAAAAAGAAACTTGCCATATCACAGCCCCTTTGTTGAGTTTAAGTCATTTATCTATTTATAACATAAGTTAATGAATTAAAGAATGAACTAGCTCACACAAACAAGAAAGCTATCATCCATCATAACCCCTGACTGGAACACAAAAGGCCTCCCCCCAGAATACATGTTCATTTCCATTAATGATGAAAACTCTAACTGATAAATGGCAAGTCACTGCAGAGATGGTTGTGTGGAAAATGCAGTTGTAAACGTAATACTCACTGTCTCCCAAAAATAACAAATCCCACTGTGTCAACAGCCAAGGGACATCAGCAAGAAAATAATAAGGAGCTCTTCAAAAAGTAAAGATGACCTCTATTCTCAACTGCTGGTGGAGTGGGGGCAGTACATCGACCATGACATAACCTTGACTCCTCTGAGCACCAGCCCTTCTCCTTTTTTGACTTTCACGGACTGTTCGAGCACATGTGAAAATGTGCATCCATGCTTTCCCATTAAGGTAAACTGAAAGCACAACAGTCTTTCTACATTTTGCTTACCTTTGTCTTGATTGCTCTCTTGTCACAGTCCTGTGTTTAAAAGAGACTGTTTCACATTTTGAGGATTATGCTTACTTGCTTTCTTGTTGAGAGTTAGATGTGAACATTGATACCACTCTCACACCTGTCCATTCAATATAAAGTTGGAGCCAGCAACTGTTTACCTTAGATTAGCATAAAGACTCATTTCCTGCACTTACTGACTTCCCGCACGACCAAAGCAAACTCCAGAAATTTTCTGCTCTTAACCAAGAAATACTCACACACCTACAGGAACTCTCCTTAAAACCACAAATTGCTTTTACACTTTAGTTTTTGTATGGATCAAACAAATTAAATATAACGCATTTATTGGTGAGGAGTTAGAGCTGTTGGTAAGTGGGTTCTGTTACCATTGGACAGAGCCAGACATGCTTCACAATATTTATGCTAAGCTAAGGCGACACAAGGGACAGACATAAGAGTGGTCAATCTTCTCACCTAACATCTAACCATTCTTTTAAATTCCATAATCACAACAACAGATAAATTTGATATATCCCTCAAAAGTAGTTGAAGATGCTATTGAAGCAGCTTGTTATAAATTATTTTATCTTCTCTACAGACCCGTGATATGTCCTCTGCTGCACAAAGCTGCATGCCTTTCCAACGCTCCACCTCAGTCTGCTATCTCAATTTCACTTCAGATATCATACAAGCTCTGCAGCGACAACAGATGAACGCCATCACATCGTTCATAGATGCATCAGTTGTGTATGGCCACACTCCAAAAATGGAGAGGTTACTCCGTGACCTCTCTGGCTTCAACGGGAAACTTTCTGTCAACAAACAGTTCAAGGATCCAAAAGGAAGACCCTACCTTCCTTTCGTAGCCACTCTGCCGTCAAAGTGCTTCCAGGACCCACAGGGGGAGAGAGTGGAGTGTTTCAGTGCTGGAGACACTCGGGCCAATGAGGGTTTGCCCCTGGCCTCTTTGCATACATTGTGGCTTAGGGAACACAATCGAATTGCAGAGGCATTGAGACGCATGAACGATCACTGGAGCCCGGAGATTATATACCAAGAAACCCGTAAGATTATTGGAGCTCTGCATCAGGTATGTGACTAGTAACTAAAATTGTTTCAGTGTGCCAAAATTAAAATCAGTTTATAATAACTGAAAACTGTGCTGACATGCCACAAAAAAGTCAATTTCTCAGAGCCTAAGTTGACATTTCGGGTGTCATATTAATTTGCATTCTTGCTAAGATTTAGGTGAGAAGACTAAAACAACTCCAGGCCAGGAGACGGTTAGCTTAGCTTAGTTTAAAGGCCTGAAGCAGAGCGAAAGAATTAGCATGGCTCTGTCCAAAATTAAAAAAAAAAAAAAACATCCTCCTACCAGCAACTTTAAATGTTCTTAATTAAAAAGATCTATCATGTAACTCAAACCAGACATTGATGTTCTTACATTTCTGGTGAGAGTTATATTTATCTGCTCATCTAACCTTAAATATTCACATTAAGAATGCTGGAACCAATTTTGTCTTTAAAATGACTTTAATTAATAGTTGAGTATTAAAATTGATTGCTGATTAATTTTCTGTCAATCAGCAACTTGTTTCAGCTCTATTTAACAGTTCATTGAGCAGTGCTAGAAATGTTTGTACTGTTGGGCAATTTGAAATAACCAGTCTTGTTTTCTGCCATGCAGAGTAGCAACCACTTCTCTGTCTCGTGCTCTGTGCCAAAAACTGTTATATCTTATACAGCTGGAGCAAAGTGCTAACATCTGTAACATCAAAAATTCATCCATCTTTGTCAGAACCCCACTGAGGGCTCAAATTAAGTGCAGAAATTTTTAAAAAGTGGCATTTGGTCAGCCAATTCTTTATGCAAAACAGCTTGTGTATCGTAATTCAGTTCTTCAGGCTTCAGGTGAGTGCCCTAAATGTTTTTTATTCATGATCTTGCAGACTTTCCAGAAACAATCACCTCAGATTATCACAGACAAAACACCTCTGTTTGTTTTATATCCTGCTTGTGTAGTCATATTCATAGGGATGACATATCAGATCAGATGGCTTTATTTCTGTAGCCAGCTGTAGCAATAGTTCCATGGTTTCCTGCTGCAACCACTGTCATCACTGACCACTGACATTGCAGGTTTTTTCTACAGACTGTAGTCACTGTGCTGCAATGAATTTAACCATGAACAGATTTTGTTGGATTATATAGATTATAAGAATTTCATACCTACTAATTCCTACCACATAGAGCGCCAACAAAAACATTATCCCCCATTAAAACCTCATTAAATAGGCAAGACGATCAACTTTCATTGTGTAAGTGCCAATTGTGATACAGAGATGATAATGATAAGAAATCAAATGGACGTCATGCTCTGATTAGTACAGAGTCAAGACAAGCAGAAATCGGAGTGATTCACATGAAGAAGTTGTGGATTCATTTATATCCTACAATCTGGATGTACTGCACTAGAGACACAGCTCTGTGATGAAAATAAAGTGATTCTGTCTAATTGCTATAAAGTTTCTATTGAGGAACACAAATGATGTCCTGGGGGGGAACAAACTATTTCAGCCTTTATGAGTATGGAGATTTTATAATCTGCAGATGTCAGTTGCAATAACATATTATTAACGAAAGGCAAACTTATATAAAGTATGTAAGGAGGAGGGTTGTTGATGAGTTGTTAATTCTCTCTGTTGTGAAGCAAATCATGACTCAGGGTCATTACAGTTTTCACAATGCAGAGAAAAAAAGCCTTGACTGGAGACTTTGCAGAGATGAAAATAGAATTATTGTAGTTATTATTGAATGTGCATAGCAATGATTGAAATACAGTAGAGCTTTACAAAATCAATAACAAGACGAAGTTAGAATTTTAAAACCTGATTTATAAACTACACTCTGCTGAAATCTGTTGAATTCTTAAAGGTGAGTCACCTGCTGAACAAGGGTCAGTAATTTGTGTCAGTTACTTTCAAGCATCTTGTAAGTGCTTCTGTTTGACAGTTTAGCTTTAGCTAACAATTAATTTAGGAAATTGAATCATTAAACAGGGCATCCGTTAACAAATAACAGCTGCGACATTCCATTAAATGAGCACAAGATGAATATTTCACTTTAAAAAAGTGCCAAAGCTAAATGTATTAGAAAACAGCTGAGAAACAATCTCACCACAAAGTCCATTGTCATGATAGGCCCCTCCTTGTTCCTGCCTGGACTGTTTAGTGTTTCCTGTTTTATTTTGAAATTACTGTCCATTTATGCCTGTTGTGGTTTTACTTCCTGTCGTTGTGCTTTCCCGCCATTTTTCTGTTCCACCTGTGTCTCATCAGTTAATTATTTCCCTGTGTATTTATAGCCTTGTGTTGCACCTCATCAGATGCCAGAGTATTATGTTCAGTTTCTGCATGGTTCATGGCTTGAGTCCTTGTGTTACCCATACTACCCGTATAATTACCTTTACCAATCTCCTTTATTTTGGGTTTGGATTGTTTGCCTGTTTTGGACTGCCTTGTTGCCTTTTGACCCTGGAGTACCTTACCTACTTGTAAGCATTCATTTGCTTTGTCAAATCAGTGAACCACATTTTTTCGTACTAAAATGTCTGCATTTGGGACCTTTTTCAAGTGTCTTTGCAATAGTTCTGAAAACTTTTGATGACATCACATGAGCTTCCATGCCATGAAATAGCAGATATGAATCTCAGCTTTTAAGCCAACCTAGTCCTGAATGAAAATCTGAACAGCAACAATTCTATGCTAACTGTGCAACCTCCATCTGCTGTTGAAGATTATATGATCAACAGCAGCAGAACAGCTGCAAAATGGACCTTGTGGTGACATTGTTTCTCAACTACTTTCCAGGGTCAAGAATGAGCTTTGACTCAGTTATTTTAAAACATGTGATGTCTTTGCTAACAAATTTAAAATGCATTGTCTGGATATTAAAGGAGAGTTCACTCATAGTGAACACTGATAAAGATGCTGGTTAGAGTTAGTCTGACATGGCTGCTTCTTTTAGTAGCATTTATGATTTGAAATGTAAGTAAAACAAGATGAGATAAAGCTAAATAGTGAAAACCTTTTTCTGTATGAAGCTTTCTTCTCATAATTGATTCAGAACTTGTGTGACCCTGACAGCTGCTGTTCTCAGTCTGATGACTGTAAGAATCAACAAGCCGTGGAATCCGCTTCTTTGCTGTCATTGCAAAAGTCTCAGCAGAAGAATCTTTTACAAATCACCTCAGTGGTGATGGTGCAGTTCCTGAAACTGGCTTCCAACAACTCCCCTAAGCCTGTGTTCAAATCACCTACAATCGTTGTTTTCCTACAAACAATTGGTCACATGACGAATTATATGTGAAAGATATTGCTCATAGTGACAAATGCAAAGGGAACAATCACCTATCTCTGTAGTTCCCCTCAGCTCTAAGAAGCATTTCAATTGTTTCTCATTGTTTTGGTTCTCTGTCCCGCAACTGTAATGTTTTGTTAATGTTCTCACAGCTCTGAGAGAGTTGTTGTTTTCAGCCTAGCAGGCTGCTGTTTTCAGTGAAAAAGCTTTAAAAACCTACAAAACTACACCATATAGCAGACAGAAACAGTTGGCCTCAGCTGATGTAGCATTTAGCATCTGAAGAGATATTTCCCTCAGGAGTTGGTCGAGACCAAAAGCAGAGCTAAGAGAGATTTATTATTGGACGTTTGGACAAGCACAACTCTGAATGGAGGGTAATATTAGCTACTCAATACAATATCTGTTGGATATATAAACAGGCAACTGTATGTTAACGCTTTCACCATATTAACTTTTAAGGTAATAGTATGTCAGTGTTGTTTACAGCTTGTTTCTGCTGCACCCAAGTGGCCAAAAAAATCGCAGGTTTACAATCTGTTTTGAATTGTGGAGTTTTCCCACAAGCTAGGCAACATTTTATTCTTGTCCTGCAGATTCTTGCTAAGTCGAATTGAAAAATGGTTTATATCACTTAGATATTAACCTTGGTTTTAGTTATTTTCTTTTGTCTTTTATAAATCAAACAACTTCCTCTGTTTCAAATTGGCCTCTTTGAATGGCCTCTTATTCTTAATATCTGTTTGAACCCAATGCTTCTAATGTAGCTTTACTCAGCACGAGTCCTAGACGCATCTCTGTATGCTCGTATGACAAGGCTCTTCATAACAAGGCGGGTGTCAGAGCCAAGTAAAAACTGTCAAAGACTGACAGGTGATAATCCTTCATCATATAAACAGTCTCTGTGCAAAGACAACACTCAAACTTCATACCAGTTAGCAGACACATGGATTCCTCTGTCTTAACTATTAGCTGCATGTTTTTATGTACACAGCAGGGCTTTGTTGCTGTTTTTACTTTTTTAGTTCTCCTGGTAGTGATGATGGATGACAGGCAGGTTGTGCAGCAATGACTGATTGTTGATAGCAGCTATTTCCATTACCTGTAGGCTGAAAACATGATTAATGGTGATGCATTCTTCGTAAAATATAATGAACAGAACATGTTTTAATGCAAATGATTCATTGCTTCTACTGTGGGGGACCAGTGACTCTGGTACTAGGCTGTGAAGGTTTGTACATGTTTTTTTAAGCAGAGAGAAAATATTCTGTAATCTTTCAGATTTTTTGTGGGGGCTGACATTGTACTATAGCAATGGATTAACAGCTGCTGTTTTCAGGTGACTCGGGGACAATACCAAAGGAAGGAGATTTACAATATTAAAAAGAGATGGGTCTAAGGTGGAGGGGCTTTTTAAATAAGCATAAAAGGCAGGTACTGTAGGGGATTTACATACTGTAGCTATAACCATGACCGACTTGGAAAATCCTTGTATTGGAAGTGGAGTGAAAAGTGAGGGGCTATCTGGTCTGACCAGGCTGCAAACCGGCAGACTGTAACCTTATCTATTTTCTCATAGAAAAAAAAATCTCAAAGTTGAGATGAAGAATAAAGAAAGCTCTGTTTGTGTTTCTCAAGAGAAGAGTGTTGACTTTGACAAAAAGTTTGTACTTTATTGCCCAACGACCAGTAGATGATTCCTACAGACAAGCCCCACTTTACATATACTGTATAATGGCAAATAGTCAATAAGCACACTAGTTATACACATCAGCACAGGCTCAACATGACTTCCTGTGACAAAAGATAACAGATCGGCAGGCTTGGATATAGGCTTTTAAGTGCTGTACAGAGATTAATGAAAGCAAAACACTTCACTAGAATCACTGAGCCACAAGCATAATTTCATTTGTTAGAGCTCCTTTGATCCTTTGCCAGTGAGTTTGCCATCAAGCTGTGATCAAGTATCCCAGTGAGCCATGACAGAGAGCCAGCCTGCACCTTACCAGGACTCTGAAACTAGCTCACCAAAATGTCTGCTGTGAAATGGCTCTATTGCAAGCAAGGATTCAATTATTGTACATGGTTGTCACCCACTAAGCTTCATTGGATTTTTGAAAACTGCCACTAAAAGACTAGTGTAATCTAATTGCCAAGTTATGGTTTAGGCATAACAAATTCTCTAACCTGTTCAGCTTTACTTGATCAACAATCTTCAATTACAAAGTACACTTTGTAAGGCAGTGCTGCTAGCTGTGGCAGCTGAGTTTTAAAGCTGAAGCACTTGTGGTTGCAAGTTTAAGTTTAAATTTAAGCCTGAGAGACAGTTCAGGCATTCCATGTAAAGTAAAGCATTACAATAACAAACTCTCCGCTATATACTGTTATTTCATAAACATAACAAGCTATTAGATGATTAAGACATGCCTAATATAATGTAGTAGGCATATTGCAAATGTATATTATTCTTAATATTGGAATTGAAATCTGCCTATGATGTGAAAACTTTACTAATTATCCAATCCCACAGAGGGGGAAAAAAAAACCACCCAACTCTGCAGCCCTTTGCAGCTTTCAGCTCATTGTTGGAGTTTGTCGGTCCATATGGTTGAATCCCAACACCTCACCAAGCCCCCCCATTTAAATCCTCAGGCAGCTGTGTTCCCAGCAAACAAGCTCACACAGGGCGAATATAATGTAGGATTCTGCTTTCATACTGCATTATTCTTGACAAGTCACTGAAAAAGCATTACTTTTAATGCATTAAAATATGTGCTGTGGCAGTAATTGCTAACCAATAAAAAGACCCACTTCCAGGCCAAGGGTAGTGTACAATTAGCCAGGAAATGAAGCATTAAAGTTAAAAGTGTTCAAGTCTGGTGCTATGAGGTGGATGCCAGGGGATGTGTACCTGTTTTTGCACATGCTACTGTATGTCAGCTTTAACTGTCTAGCACCGGGGGAATACATCAATTTGCAGTAATATAACCAGGATCTAATAAAGACATGGATAATGAAGAGAGGAGAAAACATTGGTCAACAGATTTCACATGATGGTTACAATTAAGCTTGTCAAAGATAACAAGTGAGATTTCTACAATATGATTCAATGCAGGAGGACAGAGAACCTAAGTGGAGGGAAATGTGATCAGTGGAATAGATTCTGATTTATTTGAGCTTAACTGAGCAAAGTTGTATACATTTTAAGGCAGGATTATGATATTGCCCCTTTACTATGTAGTGTGGACAGGCAAGATCATTACATTGTATTTAGTTTTTAAGTGGTCCATTAAGTAAAAGACTTGACTGCTGAACAGCTCTGCATTTATGAGCTTACCTGTCATAGAGTTAAATCCAACATAAAGCAAAAGTGGACATTGTAAAATATAATTAGCTAATTTCTTGTAGTAGAAGGGAAAGTATTTTGGTATTGGACTTCTATTAAGTCAGGGGACTTAACAGAAGTATCTAAATTGAAGCGGCAGAGGCTGAGATAGTTCAACTTTAAGCGCATAGTATACACCATGCCCCCAAAGCTCTGGATCCTTCACTTCCAAAATAATGCAACTGGATAGTATTTTGCATTAGACCCTCTGTGCCCAATAGTTTTTTTTTTTGAGTAAATGTACTCAGTTACTTTCCACCACTGCATGGATGAATGCTGCTCTTGACATCGCAGTCTGGTGTGACTGCTCCTCATATGAGACCAGAACTATGTGAAGCACTGCTGCCTAAACATAAGTCAGTCTAAGCCGTGGTCTCCTGTCACAGCTGACATGTTCTGCATCAGTTTCAGTTTGTGCAGACTTCTGCTTGTAGATCACTAATACATAACAAGCACATATTAGAGCACTACATTTGAATTGTTTTTGCAGTTTCCTATTGGTACTGTTTTCAACTGTTGGTTGTTGTTGTTGTGGATGATTGGTGCAAGTCTGAGACTCTCGCTGTTTAGTGAGTCATCTCAGCTAATCATTCTTGCCTTAACAAGTTCATCTTAAACAGACTGTCTTTACTCCAGATTAGAGGCAGCTCAATTTCATATCTTTAAAGTTATCTTCAGAGCAACAGAAGGTGAATTTATCAGGTTTTAGATCTTAGTTTTGGAACTTAAGCTGACTCTAAATGTGTCCTATTAAGGTGTAGGTATTTGAATCTGTGTGTGCATATGCCTTTGTGTGATACTGCATGTGTTAAGATTCAGGTGGTGAACTGAGGCCTTTATAAATAGTGATGAGGACAGAAATTCTCTGCAGTGACCCATAAGGGAACAAATGTGCATTCATATGTCCAAGCTGCATGCATACACATTCACAAGATACTATATTTTGGAGCTGGATATGTTGTTATCTGTCAAGTGATATCATCCAAACTCCATGAGGTACAATGTGTGGCTTTAAATTGCAAGTGATGCACACTGTCCTTAGATTTGAGATATTCTTTTATGACTTTGTGGAAGATTCTTTTGATTCTTTGTGATCCCCCTCTCTCTTTTTTTCTTCCCCAGATCATAACCATGAGAGATTATGTTCCAAAAATCATTGGCCCAGAGTCTTTTGAACATTACATTGGACCCTATGGGGGCTATGATCCAACTACGAACCCCTCTGCCTCCAACGTGTTTGCCACTGCTGCGTTCAGGTTCGGCCACGCTACCATCTCTCCAATCCTCAGGAGACTGAACGAGAGCTTCCAGGAGCATGAGCAGTTAACCCACTTGAGACTACACAACACTTTCTTCAGTCCGTGGAGAATAGTCAAAGAAGGTCAGTACACGCTTATGAAGCTGCCTATTGGAGCTAATAACATATCCTGCAAGCGCACTAAATGCACCGTAAAAAGACGGAATGTGGAAGGAATAAAAAATTACCTTTTATTTAGGTCAGCTTCGGTGCTGAATGTCTGTCTCTGTGTAACAATTAGTTGCATACAATTCTATTGATTCACATATTTCAGACCATGAAATACATATATCTTTGTCTAATAGACTATGAAAACCTGCAGCAATATATCAGACCAAGTACATGACCTAATGTCCTCCCAGTGGCTGGAGACTCATTACAGAAGGTGTAATAATCCATTTTACACTGTAGGAACCTTTTCAACTAATTATCAGTACATGATTTATTTATTTATTACTTGTGCATACGATACTACGTTATCTATCATATACAGGAGATGCATTCTTAAATGTGTACTTACAGCTAACTACTCCTTATATTTTTCAACCAGACTCTTATTCTCCTTATTGTGACCACTCCGGTTATGGGTCATGCTAACTTTGCACTCACCACCTCTGTGGTGGAGATTCAGTTAACATAGACTGCAGCAAAGCAGCATATATTGTGGTGAGCAGGTCAAACCCCCTAAAGCTTTTGGACTAAACTTAAACCCCCCCCCCTTCAGCATGTGTGTTTTGGTTATTGTTGCTTCACTTGGATGTTTGACCTTCACTGTGCACAGTGATGTATGGGCAGTTCGATACTTGGAGGCCGTTTTCACATTCATCTCATGAAATGGAAAGTTTCTTTGTGCTCACTTTAAATCAGACTTTAAGTGGTGTACAAGCAGGGTTTTGTGACATGGCAACTAGTTGGGAGGCCAGTCATGGTCCACTATGCGACTAACATATGCGATGTGGAGACCTGAAACCTCCAGTGTCCAGCAGTCAACTGTATAAAATGAAAAATATGAGGAGCAGATGACATTTTGAGAATTTTTAAGAAGGTAATACAACCCCTCCTCCTCTGATTTTTCAAATTATTCAAAGTATGGTATTTTTATGTCTTAAAACATGTCTGGAGGGTCTTTAAATTTTATATAAATTATTTCAAATGTTTGTCACTGAGTCAGAAAAAAAAAAATGCAGATATTATCCCGCTGGAGTAGCTACTGTAGAAAAGAGACATCTACTTCTGGGGAACTTATAGGTAACCAAACTATTAAAGCTCAGTAGTATGTCAAACAACATGCCTTCTACTGTAGAGTAGCAGGAAACAAAGGCAGAGAGGGAGGGGTGTTATATATGACAAAGGCCCATCTCGCCCATTGGTATGGACCTTAACCTTTAGGACATCGGACGACCATCACCTTTTAAGTTGACGTTGTCAACTTGTTAGGAAAGGGTTGCTTAAACACATCCAGAAAGTACAGAGCAACAAGATCATTTATTTGGAGTCAGTTTTTGTCCATCTGGCTAATAGAAGCCCAATATTTACTCTTTGGTGTTTAGCTGCTAAATGCTCCACTATGTTCACCAGCTAGTCTCTAACTGTTTCTGTCGACTATTTGTTGCTGAGCAGGTTGTACACAGTGGTTCTTTTTTGTTTCGAGCTTTTTTGCTGAAAACAGCTGCCTGCTGTTGCCTCAAACGGCACCATGAGACTCAGTGAACCAAAACAATAAAGTTGGAGGCCAGACTGTTAGACAATGTAAAGCTGAGGGTAGCTGAAGATCCATCATTATCATTCTCTATATGACATTATTACATTGCTCTCATGTTGTCATTTATAAACTGTTCATAATAGCTGCTTTAAAACTTCAATATGCATCATTACCTTTGCCAAAGCTGTTTATTTGCGAGCAGGACCACAGAAAAAGTACGGAACTAAATTGCACCAAACTTGGTAGAGGGATGGAGCATGGGCTGGGGCACATCCAGATTATATACAATGAATTTTGTTTTATTTTTATTTTTTCTGAAGTCTGGTGTATGTTGTTTGACACTGGCCATGGCAGAGGTCTGTGTTCAGAGTGCCCCTCTAGTTTTTTATAAACCCATTAGACAACTGTATACCACAATTTTTTATCAGTCCAAATTACTGTAGCTGAAAAATAAGGATATCATTACCTCTCTAATCCACAGTGTAGAGACCGCTCTTTTCACTGCCATAAGCTTGTGACCATAGGTGAAGGATAGAGAAGTCTAGTCTTCTCATCTTCAAAGCTCAGCTCTCACCTCACCATTTCACAGTCCCTCTGCATTACTACAGTCACTTCTGCTAATCCACAGTCAATCACACATGAAGGAGCTGCCAAATATCTAAACGCACACGGATCAATCCACATTTATCTTTGAGAGAGCCATTGGCCTTTGAGGAGCATCTCCTCATCCTGTCTGTGTCAGCTGCATTTCACTTCTGTGCACATTAGAGGTCACAGCGCCATTAAGTTCTTGGAAGCACTATTTACAAAAGACTACAATATGCTGCAAACACTCCATGACGTAGCACAATGCTATAAGGGTGAGCCTCTTTGTGTATGCAGCGCAATCAGTTTCAAAACTCAGGTCACCTATCCTTGAGATTATGAGCAGGACAGATTAAAGGTGCTAGCACATGCACACAATGATTCTGCTTTTCTATTCTCTATATCTTTTGTTATATTAGTTTTTATTGGCTTTTCTTTTTAAGAGAATTGAAAACAAATAACCAGATACAAAATGCAATAAATAAAGATGAAAATAGACTAAACAAAAATCCAAACAAAAATATTCATCAGTTCAGTCCATCAGCACAGTATACACATTATGTCAAGAGTGTAATGTTAAAACGCTGAGACACTTACTATCAACTCAAATGGTGCATTCTGTCATTATGTCAACCCAGTCTCCTATGACTTGGCTTTTCCGGTTATGAAGATTAGACGCTGAAATGAACTCCATTCATAGGGCCAGGGTAAATGCTGATTTGGAAATTCTAGGTAAACACGATCTGTCCTTGAACAGACAAAGCTGAATGATAATAATTCTGAATACTAAGAAACGTTTACCTTATATGGCAACTGAACACTTTTTGCTGACCTTCAGTGGCTTAAGTTCTTACCTTGAACTGCAGTGATACAGTGGTCAGTGATTTTTAACACAACACAAGTTATGAAACTATGTGTTATGATAAACAGAACATTCATCCCCAATGGTCCATTCATCCTATTTGCTCCAATGAAACTGTTTGGACGCCAGAAAGCCCAGTGGAAGCAGCCGATCCAAGCTTATACACAAATCTGTTTTCTAACCAGCATAAAGAGCTCTATCCAGAGAAAAGTGTACCCATCAACTACTATGTATGTATGTATATATATATATATATATATATATATATATATATATATGAAACTGTTATATATATCTACAGATATATGTGTGTGTATATATATTTATGCATTGTATCCTGTTGTCTTTTTGGTTAAATTTTTTGATATTTTACATTTTGAGACCAACTGGACTGATATCCAAATTCTTTGAAATTAAATATTAACAGAAAATCTTTTACTCTTGATATGTGCACTTAGAATATTATTGCATTCCACTGTTTTATGTTGACTGATTAACTTAAAAAATGCTGTTTTTGTTTAGGTGGAATTGAACCAATCCTGAGAGGCATAATTGGAACTGCAGCAATAGCTGTTAGCCCAAACATGCTGATGCCAGAGGAGACAACGGAGAGGCTTGTCGTCCTTAATATACAACAGCACATGGACCTGGCTTCACTGAACCTGCAGAGAGGGCGAGATCACGCTCTCCCAGGTAAGTCCTTGGCTGTGAGTCAGTGTTCAGTGGTGTTCACTTAAGCCTGCCAAATCACAGTGACAACCAACAATCAACCCTGTTTAATCCTCAAAGCTTAAAAGCCAGTTCCTTTCACTCCCTTTGTCAACACTCTTTAAGCTCTTTGTGTTGATACATTTGATAAGTCTGATGTTAACAGCCATTGAGTACAGCATCCAGTCCTATTGGCAGCTTGTCTCTGAAGTTTGCTGCTGCTTACTGGTTCTTCATGGTGATGACAATGAGAAGTGAAAAATGCAGTACCAACCCTATAAGTCATAAGCCACTAAACTAAACTTGGTTACAAAATATAGGAGCTTCATATCATTTTCACAAAAACAGCCCTGATACTGAATAGACAGTGAGCTGATAGACATATCATTCATACATGTGTGCCTATGCGGAACTACTGGAAACCATTTTACTGATTCCGTAAAGCTATTAATATTGCTCTAACGTACGTGCGTGCGTGCGTGCGTGCATGTGTGCATGCTGCTTTGAGTGGCAAGACGGTGACAGCGGCTGTCAGGGCAACAGACCAATCTGAGCTTCAAAACCACTCTTCAGAAACCTGTGGATGATGTCACAGAGGCTACGTCCATCTTTATTTACAGCCTATGCTCTTTACATAATAATAGGAAACAGGTGAGGAACAGCTGGTGTGGTTCCGTCCGAAGGTAACAAAATCCACCTACCAGCCCCTCTTATAGTCAGAAATTAACATTTATATCTTTCTTTATTTTTTGTTTTCCTGATGGAGAAAAATAAATAAGCTGGAAGCCTATAACCATATCTAATGAAGTCGCTGTGCTAGCCAAAAATAGTCTGCAACATAACCCCCGTGAAACACTTTTTTTTTTTTTTTTTGCATGAGATAAATATAGCATGTTCATTTGTGAGTTTCTTAGCTGCTGGTAGGTGGATTTTTTATTTTATTTTTTTTACTTTTGGACATCTAACTCCTTGTTTCCCTCTATTTCCAACTGAGCTAAGCTAACCACAGCTTAGCTCTAGCTTTGTGTTTATCTTACAGACATGAGAGTGGTCAGGCTTCTCATCTTAGTCTTGACAAGAAAGCAAAATGTGAATAAATATGTTCATTATTAATTTATATTGTGCTGAAATTACTTTCCAGGATACAATGATTGGAGAGCGTTCTGTGGACTGAAGCGTGTTAAGACACTGGATGATCTCAAAGAGGTTGTGGGAAACAACAAGGTTGCTGAGAAGATACATAAACTATACAAACACCCTGACAATATCGATGTATGGCTTGGAGGACTTGTTGAAAATTTGTTGCCAGGCTCAAGAACGGGTCCCCTCTTCTCGTGCCTGATTGGAAAGCAGATGAAAGTGCTTCGTAATGGAGATAGGTATATTAATGTTTGTTTATTTAAAAAATGGAAAAAAAAAGGCTTCAGTTCAACATATTTATTGAAAAGTTTAATTTTAGATGGTAGATCAACCATTTTTATGTTTCAGGTTTTGGTGGGAGGCTGAGGGTATGTTCACCCAGCAACAGAGGGCTGAGCTTTTAAAAGGTTCTCTGTCCCGGATCATCTGTGACAACACCGACTTAAGGGAAGTCCCCTATGATTCTTTTAGATTTGGGAAATACCCATCTGATTATGTCTCTTGCAATAATATACCACTGATGAATCTGGAAGCTTGGAGAGAAGAAAGGAGCGAAGGTGGGCTTGGGACACTTGGGCTAATCCTTGTCATAAATCATACATTCCTTTGAATTTTATCATTCCCCTGCACATTAACATGAAAAACTTTTATCACTCAATTCCAGACTTGAAGCACTGTGGCTCTCCAGCAAAGATAAAGAACGGAGATTTCATATTGTTCTCTAGATGTGACAAACTGGTTGCCCAGTACTCCTGTTACCATGGTTTCAAATTAAAGGGTGCCGCTGCAATAGTTTGTGAGGGAAATCGGTGGAGTGATCAACCCCCACAATGTACAGGTATGTGAACTGTAGTTAACATGTATTTGTTTGATAGCATTTGCTTATGATGTCGTAATGTCTATGTTGAATAGTTTCACATGAAAGGGAGGTTCCACTGTGAGCTGGTTAATAGCCTGTCCTCCTTGTATGACCTGCTTCATATATATATATACTGTAGATTATCCTCCAAGCGATGGTTCAGCACCACAGACATGCCTGAACACCATACAGTATTCAGTATATGCTGTGCTCTTTTCTGGCTGGTGCTTTACTGCTATCTGCTGGTACTAACGGTGTAAAGGAAATGTTCCAATAGGAAATATATTGTGAATAGGGCCATTTGTGCGGATATCAAATTGCATAGTTTTAATCTGACCTGCATCAAAAAGCACAAGGTTAGATGCACTTTCAATGCCACCCATTTTTCATGTGGACAGCAGGTTTTGAAGCAGCTGTTTATAACGAGTATAAAAGTCCCCTTGAGAGACCTGAATCTTAGTTGACAGGTGCAGTGCAAGGAATGATTTTTTTCAAATTTGATCAGAGTGGTTACATTTCTGTGAATAGGCTGTTTTCTTTTTATTATCCTGCATCTATCTCCATTTTTTGACAAAGCAACTTCTAATTATTTTTATTTGATAGGCCTGTACACCTTTCTTGTGGCATTGTCATTGACAATTGATTGGCATGATGTCACTGAGAAATGTAGGATGCTCTGTTCCAGCACTGCTGATCTTAAGCCAGGCACGCACACATAGCTCCTTTTGATGTAACTGATTTGTTCTAGCAGTCTGTTCCTGGATACTCCAGATCATTTTTACAGTAAACACTGTTTATGGCTTCAGGTTTATTTCCTGTTGTTGTTTTCCTGATCAGTATTGTTTTCTCAAAACAATGACAAAGAAATTATGTCTCGCATAATTCTGGTTTCTCATGATTACGACATACCAAGTCATTCTAAGTCAGTCAAGGAAGATGTAATCATATAACAAATGCAACCTGATTTGGAGAGTCAAAAAATGAATATCAGTTAGTCTAATCTGAATGAATGCTTTTAAAAGCTGATTAGCTACAAAGACTGGAAACGGGGAAATGGCTAGCCTGGCTGTGGGTTCTGTCCTAGTAAATAGCAGAGACTTGTGGAACTAACCTTTTATTTCAACACTTCAATCTTTGTACAGATTTATTAAACTAAATATAATGTGTTAATTAGTGAGCCTTGTACGTGGTGATAGGTGGATTTTGTTACTTTTGGACAGAGCCAGCCTAGTTGTACTGCACTGTTTGCTTTCTTTGTGCTAAACTAACAAGCTGCTGGCTATAGCGTTATATTCACCAGACAGATTACAGTGGTATCAAGTTTCTCATCTAACTCTTGGCAACAAAACAAATAAGGATACTTTTCAAAATGTCAAACTACTGCTTTATTCAAAGTGTTTTCAGATTGGGTCAATTAAAATGAAGAATATCTTAATTTTATTACAGTAGATTTGATTAGAAAGTATACCCTTTCAGACTCACACTCCACTCTGCAATTTTATTTGTCATTGTCATGTTTGAATGACTCCACTCAGTTTTCTGTAATGACAATGGCAATTTCACTTCGTACAACATAGTAGATTTAATTTGGTAAGTGGCTCTGCTGTTACTAAATCCTCAGTTGCAGGGTTACACAACTCGTTACTAAATCAGCAACAGTAAACATCTTAATGCGTGGAACCCAGCGACAAAATGTCACCAGATAGGGGACTGTTGCCTTTATGTTTCTTTGAAGGGGCAGTGGGACAGTAGAAAAGTCTCTATTGCTCCATATAATCCATGTGTATGTTAAGAAACTCACTATGCTTTAGAGATGGAGGACAACACCAGGTATTCATCAGTGTACTCATGAAAGCTGGGTGTCTTCACTGCAACAGCACCTGTCAGTCCTTGTTAGTTACATCAAAGTATGCATGCTAAGGTGAGAGATATTCATGGTATGGCATGCTTGATTGCTACTGGCTTCATAACTATAACATGAGATTTAAATAACACTTTTTTTTCTCCCCCAGGGAACGATCATTAAGTTGTTGAAATGGACCTATAAATGCTTCATAGTTTTATGACCAGACTTGGAAACATTGTCTTCCTTGCTCTTTTTATTTATATTTCATGATTTTGTTGTTTTTGGAAACATGGATTAAGACATGTTTTAAACTTGAAGAAATGCAATATCTGGCAATATCCTGTAACTTGTAAGATTTGGTATATTTGGTATTATTCAGAAATATACACATTAACCTGTGAATCAGAGCACTTTGTGTCACGCGATCTTTATATTACGCAATTCCCTACAAGAATTCATTTGAGATTGTTTTTTCAGTCCATCTTTCACCGCTCTGAACATGTCAATATTCTTAAGTCGAAAAACAAAGTGCAAGGAGTGCTGCTTGGGTGTGGGGAAAAAATTGTCCCTCTGTTGCTCTTCAGTGTGGGGTGTGTGCTATAAGGACTGGTTAACCCCCAATACTGGCTCTACATTACAAAGAGGCTAGCCATGGTAGTTGCAACCCACTAAAGGTGTCTTGCATTCAACATATAGAAAGTTCAATAAGGGGTGGAGACAGATCAAAATGGCTCTTACAAAGAGAATTGTTCTGGATGTATACTTTGAAAGCTATTTGATTCCCAGGTTTAAATGGGGAATTTGATTTTGCTCCTTTTTTGTAAAAGTTGCTTCTTCATAAATATTGTTGACTGAGGAGTCTGATTCTTTGGGCCTCTGAGAAAGTGAGTCTAAAAACTATTTGATGCCTTCTTTGAGTGTACTGAAATATTGAGATGTTCTAAGATGTTATGTGTATATATATCAATTTGTTTTTTGTTCTCTCTGTTTCACATGGTTGATTTTGTGATTTTGATTGAATTATGGATTACACCTGTTCATGCTGACCATGTGATTGTTTGTCCACCTGCAGAGTGAAGATAGTGTGCCATATGACTGCCTGGACCTGTCATGTTACAACTTTTCTATCCATTCTGATCCTGTGACTAATGCTACCTTTATAAATGGAAGAGACCAAAGGTGGCCATTTTATACTTGCCCTGAAGAAGGCCTAATGGCTGAAACACAGAGGCATGTTTTTATTGTTGTAATGAAGCCATGAGAAAATAAAGGCTTTTTAAATCACCACCCTCTTGAGCGCCACAGATTTTGCCAAGAATCCAGAATGTCAATATTCTTGTTGATGGAACACTGACATTAGCTTCTGAAAACAAAACAACAATAATGAAAAACAACCTGCAGCAGGACCTCAGACCCATACCACATACCTACAGTATACACAGATGGACTCCAGAGGCCTGTATTACAAAGCAAGTTTTACATACCCAGGATAAATTTTTTGTTTTTAATTATAAACATTGTCAGAACAATGAATAAAGTACTTTATATCATATGAGAATAAACCGTGATACCTGCCTGTAATTTCGGTTATGGCAAAATCCAAAAGTGATGTTCAACAAGGTGAAATAAACAATATGATCACATTAAAGTCAGGCTAAGGATATACTGTAAATAAGTACATCAGTTATTGTCTTTCTTACTGATTCATTTTGCTCTCATGTGTGAGGATGAACAAACTATTATGAATATGTGATGTAGATAAATAAATAAAAATAAAAGTTAAAGTAATGTCAGACTGTTGCTTCTGCCAAAGCAGAGATGAAAGGAAAAGTTGTTGATGACTGATAAGGTTAATCTGACTGAAATGCTCATTTATATTCATGGGAAAATATTTAACAGTGTGTAGATAATTTTCCTCAAAAAAGACATTGTTTAGTTTTTATTTCCTGTCATCATCATAAAGTCTCTGTTATTCTGAGCTGCAGTGATTGAAGAAGAGCAAAAGTATCAACACTGTCAGGAATCCTGTCGGGATTAAAGAATCTTTGTTCGATTAAAATTAAGCTATAATAGTTATGATATATTTATTTAGTGAGATAAACTCTCCTGTTTGTTTGAAGCTCTGTTTGAAAACCAGAGTGGGCACATGCAAGGTCTGGAATAGCCAAAATATTTGACTCATTTATAAAACTATCTACTGCTCTTTAGTATTCACCACTTAATTGTAAACTCTATTGTTCCCATCAGAATTCTATGGGAATGATGACTCAGCTTTTCCAGGAATCTGGTTTTGATCTGATGCTCTGAAGTTAATCTGCCCAGCAAATTAGGAGTTCAGGATAAGTTACAATGGTGATTTACCCTAGTAAGAAGTGAACCATCATAGGACTGAAAACCTGAGGGTTTAACCTGAAATTGCCTCAATAACCTCAAATCCTGCTTCAGGCCTTTGGACAAGGACCTTTATTGCCTGTCATACTCCTCTTTCTTTCCATGTTTCCTACCTATCTCTAGACTGACAAGGCAAAATGCCAAAAACTCCAGCAACATTTCCAAATTACATCATTACACAACCATGTACTGTATCTTAGAAATTATGGTCATACACCACTAAACTATTTTGTCAATTGAATGAATGAAGTGATTTATTCATTAACAGCAGTGGAGTTGCCAAGAGGTGGTTAGGGTGGTTAGGGTGCACATCTGTCAAGTCAGAGACCAGGGTTCACATCCACAGTCCCATCTGTGTTTAGGTTTGAGCAATGAAAGCACTTTGATAAAGATTAAGGAAAGACTTTGGTTAAGTGTAAATAAACATATTGTGTCTGCAGTAACTGAATTTTTTTCTGTGTTCAACTACAATCTCTCCCTAACCTTAACCAAGTGCTTATAGTGCATAAACATAATAATAAAAATAAAAAAAATGAATAAGCACTTTACATGAAAAAACATATTTTCCGATGCAAATTACTCGGATGTAATATCTAGTAGACAGAGTTGGATAGTTCTCATGTGAACAAGTATTGTGCAATATGTTTGTATTGTGCAGAAAAGGTAGTCCTAACAAAGTAGCAGCAACATGAGATCATGGTTGAACTCTAACAACAATAAACTGGCTTTCTTTTTAGAATGAGTCATACATACCATCTGCTGCTGAGTACACCCAGACAAGAAATCTCTAAGTTGTTGAAAAAATGACTGACTGACCAGTCAGCCTTGCAGTGTTTCCTGAGAGCCAGTTAACCAATAGGCAACAGTAGGACCCTTATTAGGGTATACTTGATGGATGCTTATTCAAGTTACAAGAGACACTGAAGATCTCTAAACTCAACTCAATATTTTTTTTCAAACCTTTAAAAATTTGGCAAATTGGATTGATAAAAGTGTAAAAATGACAGCTTTATTTGAGGTGCAGTTAAGTTTCATTTTTCTTGCTTGCTCACTCTATAGTTGCCCCCTCTGACTCTTTATCTTGCTTTTCAGAAAGCTGTATCGTTTAAACATGAATGACAATACAAGGATCATGTCTCGTAGAGCGAATTCAGACAGATAACAGCCCTGCATTAAAGTAGTGCAGAGGGCTGCATTGGTGGCAGCTTGTTGCTTAAGGTACCATGAGAAAATGAAATGATCCAGGAAGTCTAGTTTGGTGCTTATCAGATGTCAAAACACAGTATAATGCCGTAGTAATTGACCAGGAAAATGCCCCTACATGTATTTGTATTACAAATGCATTGCCTTGGCGAATAACTTCACTTTGCATTGTGGCAAAAGTTCAACCTTGTCCAACTTTTTTTCTGGTTGCCCTACATTGTTTTGCTGGAGCCTCCTGCGTTAGCACTGCTAATGAGCCAACGGAGTGGTTCCATTTTACTCAGTGAGATGGCTGTGTTTTTTCACACAGGGATACTGTCGTTTGTCCGTGGCCTAACACTGGTACTAATAATATCTAGGTTGTGTAAAGCAAGATTACCAGTATCTGCAAAGTCCATTAAGTATATTGTATGTGTTTCTTCATTCACCAGAAAAAATGTTTCACTCTCTGTACAAAGTAGCAAAAGTGCCATCTTAGATAACTACCTTTCTGACAACCAGATTGATTTGATGTGACACTGAACTATACCTCAATGAGTTACACAACATTTCCCCTGCAATGTTGTGTAACTCACAAGATGACAAACATGTCAATTTTCAAAATCCTAGTATAAAAATGTAGTGGAGTTTTAAGGAGGGGATTTCTATATGGATCAAATACAGAAAAGGGTACCAGTTGGCCTCATACTGTTAAAATTATGAAGACCATCAACAATTTTACTATAAAAACTCAGAAAAAGATTCCAACAAAACTTTAATTGCTTTTCACAACAGAAATTACAATGTGCTCCAGAAGGAGAAGAAAGGGAAACGGGGAAAAGATGAAGCAATACATAATCCCATGTGAAAACACTATGAAGCACTGAAGTCAAGATTAGAAATGAATTGGGAAAGATAATAAAATATGGTCAGATAAGAAAAGAAGTTAAAAGTAACAATATATAACAATGTATTACAGAACCCAAAGGAAATAGTGGGAAATAGCTTTGAGGACACCCTTTTTAAAATAAATCAGGTGACACATATAATGTAAACCCAATTCAATTAGACTTTTTCTGGTTTTGTAGAAGGTTGCAGGGAAGTGGGTGGCAGAGCAGCTCATTTGTAGTTTGGCCCCATTCATTTTCTATGGGACTTGCTGCGATCGAAAGTTGTAAAATTAAATTTTAGAGTCCCTCCTTTCTCACGTAAATGATATATTGCTCATACAATTAAGGTGAATGGAATTTCCTTTTACATTTTTTATAGGATTATATTTTACAAAGTAGAAAGTAGAAAGTTCCATAAAAAAAAAAAACAACTTAAAATAATAATTTGGTGGTCCATCTTTAATTGATATGTGTGCCAAATGTCAAAGGCTTGTGTTTTAAACTCAATGACACCACGTCATTAAACCCAGTTTGAGTTAGTCTGATCATATTAGCTCTACCTTGGTGTTGGTTGCAAACTCAACCCTGATAGTTTCTCAGCCACTGAAAGAAACCTACCTTTTAATGAGGTCAAGGAAAGAAACAAAGAACCACATTATGTTCTTGACGTGTCAATAAGATTCCTGGGTTTGGGAAACTCTTGGCTTGGAAAATGGCCAGCATTGTGGACATCCCTGCACAGGAATGCTGATAAGGGTGGGAACATTTGTGGGCTCCTCCCGCGTCATGTATTTATGTTTGAGTGCATGTGTTTGTACATGTGAATGTGAAAGGTGTCTGTGTTTGGAAAATTTGTATGACTCATCTTGAGTCTAGAATTTTGGGCTGTATCAATTCTCTACTCATCTTTATTCACATTTTGCAGGGGTAGTCTCTCTCATCAAACATCTGGCAAAAGCAGGGAAACACTCAGAACAGTCCACTGCAGGGATAACACATTGACAAGCAATTTGATTTTAGCCACAGGATTACAGGAGATATTGTCTTTGAATTGTAATTTAGACGCGATGGTGAACAACATATTAAAAATCACAAGAAAAAAGCCGATGGCTGAGCACAAATCCCACCTGCAACTGATAGAATATAATTCATTTAGAAAACTTTGCCCAAGATTTAGTCACAGTCACGAAGGTAGACAAATACAGTTCCCTTAATAATATCACACAAACAATTATAAAATTTTGTGTCTTTATTGGACACACCCATTAAACAATCACAGTGCTGGCGAAAGAACTAAGTGAACCCTTGGATACAAAAACTGGTTGAACCTCCTTTGGCACCAATAACCTCAAACATGCTATTCCAGTAGTTGCTATTTCAGTAGTTGCTGATCAAACCTGCACAAGGTTCAGAGGTTCAGCCATATTCTTAGGATGTCATTCCACACCATCTCTATGCAGCAGGCGGTGGATCTTCTGTTTGAAGTCATTCTGTTGTAGATTTACTTGATGTTTAGGTTCATTGTCCTGCTTCATCACCCAACTTCTACTGACCTTCAGCAGGTGAACAGCCACCCTGACATTATCTTGTAAGAGACCTTGATAAAGAGCTTGGGAATTTATTTTTCCCTCAATGATGGTGAGCTGTCCAGGCCATGAGGCAGCAAAGCCCCAAATCATGATACTCCCTCCATCCTTCACCTTCGGGATGCTTTCATCTTGGTATGTGGTGCCCTTTTTTACACCATACATAGTGCTGCATCTTCTTCCCAAACAATTCAACCAGCTGCTTCTTCCGTAATGTCCTACCGTGAGTGCCATGCTCCATGCAACCGCACATCATAATTTGCATAAAGTAGACTTATGAAGAGAGACGTTACCTAGCTCCAGTGATCACTCCCTAATACTCTTGATTTCTTTAAACACTTACAGCCTTGTTTTTTTGAAACCATGTTTACACCCCTCCTCATAACATACAGTTTTATATCCATCTTTGGCTATGGAAAATATAGCATCTGGTTTACAGTTTTACTTCGTTAAAATATGCTTGTTTATTTTACTGTATGTTGTATTATTCATTGCTAGCATTTATTGGTATTCATTACCTTAATATCTTCTTATCAGACAGCATCATGGGAGAACAGCATCTTTTCCTAAGTAGATACAGCTGTTTTATCCTATTTAGAATATGTGTACATCTACATTTTTTGTGGCTAAGAAGCTGTTGGTACATAATTTATTTATTCATTAATTATTATG